GATCCAGTAGCAGTAGGTGTTTGAAGACTTGGAAGCTTACTGTAGGATCACTAGTGTGAGTCTGTGTCAGAAGGCCAAAGAGACTGCGTTGGAAAGCTGGAAAGCTGAAGAGACCGGAGGCCAATGTTCAAAGCAAATGGGGAGGAGTCCAGGCACCAACATGCAGGGCATGAGTAATGAGCAGGTCGCCCAGGTGCTGAGGACCTGCGGGAGTGTGGTCAGAATGCTGGTAGCCCGAGACCCGGTGGGTGGGATAACGGTGACACTCCCCACACCTACCACCTCACCCGTCTCCCTATCCACTACCCCGCCTGCCCTGGCTAGCAGGAGCCCTGCCATGGACTGTTCTGCACTGTTTGAAACTTACAACGTTGAACTAATTAAAAAAGATGGACAGAGCCTTGGAATTAGAATTGTTGGCTATGTTGGAACATCTCATGCAGGGGAGCCTGAGGGCATCTATGTGAAGAGCATCATGCCTTGCAGTGCTGCATAGCACAGCGGCCAGATCAGTGTGTATGACCAGATTATGGCCTTCGACAGAGTGGACATCCAGGGCCTGGCCAGCCAGGATGGCGTGCAGGTGCTGTGGGCCACGGGCCCTGTGGTGCACCTCATGCTGTTGTGCAAGCAGACACCGGCGCCAGGGCCCTCCTCCGAGAGGCCTGAGGAGAGAGGATCCAATGTGGGACCACCCAAAACACCAGCCCTCTTCCTGGCCAGAGCAGTGGACGTGGAAATGAGCTTGGATGGCGAAGAAGAAATCAGGCAGGCGAGGGACAGCTGTGAACAGGATGGCCTCTGTGCCTCAGGGAGACCAGAGCAAGCCTCAGACTCTCCATAACCTGCTGGGTCGCCATCCTGGACCCGCAGATTACAGATGATGCCAAGCTACAGAAGTACTCAGAGCTGCTGCCAATCCACACACTGAGGTTGGGCATGGAAGTGGACTCCTTTGATGGGCACCACTACATCTCTTCAGTTGCTCCTGGGGGCCCTGTGGATACCCTGAACCTCCGGCAACCAGAAGATGAGCTCCTCGAGGTGAATGGAGTGCAGCTGTATGGAAAGTCTCGGCAGGAAGAATCTCCTTCCTGAAAGAAGCACCACCCCGCTTCACCCTGGTGTGCTGTCCGAGGCTGTTTGATGATGAGGCCTCTGTCCATGAGCCCAGGACTGCTGACATCTCCGCTCGCGAGCTGCAGGTTGAGCAGAGTGTCAGTGCCAGTACTGAAGAGGACAGTGATGGAGAACTAGCCCTGTGGTCTCCAGGAGTCAAGGTTGTTGAGCTGGTGAAAGATCATAAAGGCTTAGGATTCAGCATTCTGGATTACCAGGACCCCTTGGACCCCACAAGGTCAGTGATCATGTATGTGATATATCTTGCTTTTTCTTTTTTTCTCATTCCTCTCCCTTCCCTGCAACTCCTCTTCCCCTCCTTACAAAAGCTTTATTTCCATTTTTTTTTCTTTTTTCCTCCCTTCCTTTTCCCCTCCCTCCTCCCTAGTTCCCCTTCCCATTTGAATATTTTCTTCCTATTTCACAATATCTGCTATACATTTTGGTCCTTATTTACCCTTTTGGTTTGTAATAGCTACATCCTGGAAACAGCCCAAATGCCTATCAACAGATGAATTGATAAAGATGTGGGTTTTTTGTTTTTTTCTTTTAATATGATGGAGTACTACTCTACCATAAAGAAGGATGAACTTGAGAAATTTCTAGGTAAATGGATGCACCTTGAGATCATACTCTTTAATTTATTTTATTCAAGCCGGGTGTGGTGGCGCACACCTTTAATCCCAGCACTTGGGAGGCTGAGGCAGGAGGATCCTTGTGAGTTCCAGATCAGCCTGGGATACAAGTGAGCTCAAGGCCAACCTGAACTGTATAGTGAGACCCCATCTCAAAAAGACAAAAGAAAAGTCTATATATTACCATTACCATTTATAAAAGAAAAATATATAAGCAATCTAAATATCTAAAAGTAGATAGATCTTCAGAACTTTTTCATATTATGAATCTGAAACTGGTTAAATATAATATAATAAATTCTTATGACAGAATAATGTGTACATTTTCCTAAAAAATTCATAGGGACTTGCTCATGGTAAATTAAAAAGAAAAAGAACAGAGAAGAAAACTGCATAATATAAACCCAAATTGTATGTATATGTATCTGTACAAACATGCATGAAGACAGAATAAAAAGAGTAGAAGGAAATATATAAAAATGCTAATGCAATCTTGCATGTCTTTATTTGTTTTCCCGAGAAACCACTTTGAAAATATCAATATGTAATACAACAACCACTGTTAATTTCCTATCACTTTGTAATTCAGTATTGCTTGGATTGTTCTGATGCTATTTTGTAAATGGATGTCTGTTTGTTAATATGTTTTCATTCTTTTATTTTTAAAATAAATTAAAAAAATAAAAATAAAAATGCTAATGGTGGCTATCTCTTGATGAAGGATTAGAAATTTTAAAAATGAAAACAATAAAACTTTAGCAGTGGGCATGTATTGCTTTTGTAAATAGAAGAAAAGCCTTAAAAAGTAAACTGTTATGAAGTATTTAGTACATATGAGGTGTAATGTAAATATACAGTGAATGTTTTAAGTTCTAGATGTCCTCTTTCATGAGCGTCTTTGCACAGTGTGATAAGTAATTTGGTGAATGCTGCTGCTGATTTCTATTTAGACAGAAAGGCAGGCTTGTAAAAACATGACAGTGTGTCCTCATCCACCCAATGCACCAGATCTGGCATGGTGCAACTTCTGGCTCTTCCCCAAGGTCAAAATTACTTTAAAAGGTAAACATTTTGAATTGATTGAGGACATCTAGGCAGCCATGACAGCATAGCTAAAGACACTCACGAGATCCAGAACTGCTTCAGAAAGTGATAAGAGTGATGGGATGAGTACGTGTGAAGCAAAGGGTAGTATTTCGAGCGGGGATTAACGGCAAGGTGTCTTTTACTGTAATAACTTTTAGAAAATATAAACAGTTCTTGCATTTTTCAATTATGTCTCATATAATAACACACTCAGATAATTTCCAAAATTTACATTTTCATACACTATTCCAACTAGTTTGTTTTACTTAGCATTTGTGAAATGGGTCCTAGAACTCAACATACTAATTTCTGAAAACTGAAATTTTGCTTTTGTTCTGAGAGTGTCAGTGCATTTTTTTGGAAACAGGGTTTGCTATTTAGTTCAGGCTAGCCTTGAACTCGTGATGTAGCCCAGGCAAACTCACAATGTAGCCAAGTAAAGAGCCTTAAACTCATAGCAATCCTCTACCCCAGCCTCCCAAGTGTTGGGATTGCGGGCATGTGCCACCATACCCACTGCAATGCTTTTTTGATGTGTTCTTTAAAAATAAAATGGAAGCACTCAAATCTCCCCAGGCTGACAGGTCTCTGCTATAGGAGTGACCTGCAGAATTCCAACTTGGCTGGAGGACCCTGGCAGAACCTCTGACTTGACATGTGATTGGTACTAAGCCTCAGCCAGGAATGTGCTCAGCCAGGAAGGCTATGACATCACTTGTGCCATTCTACACCAGCATTCAGCCACCTTCCGTGCCAGGAAGACTAAAACGAGCAGATAAATCCCTCACGTACCAATTCTAACCTAAGTTATGGGAACAAAGAGCGGTGTAAGAACTTAATAAATTTTCTTTAAGTTTTCAGAAGAGCTAGGAACTGACTAGATCGCCATCCCTGATAAGTATAGGGTGGCCAGTGACCACCCATTTATTTGTGAAGCCGTGAAAACAACACTTGGAATTTTGGAAAGCCCCAAAGGCCTTTAGAGGAGGAATTTAAAAACCTCTGTTATGAAAATATATTTCCAACTCTATTTCTGACGAGAATGTCCCTACAAAAGATTTTTTCTTTCTCCTATAGCTTCAGAAAAATAGATTACTTAAACATATTTTCTTATACTCCATGCTATTTTCACTCAGAATAATGCTAAATATTTTGATTTCTTTGATATGTATTTTTTGATTCAGTAAGGGTACTTAACATCTTACTCTTTCCCTTTCTTCTTTGGAAAACCACAGAATATTCAGAGCAAGTGTCCTCACCTACTTGAGTTTAATTAAATCCAAGCTGTTATTTTTTCTGATATCCTTGCCCCTAAAAATCTAAAATTAAAACAAAACTTCTATGGCTATAGGGTAATTGAACATATACATATATGTTTATAATACATATATTTAAATTTATATATGGCTATCTTACATTCCTCTGCTCCTTACATTTATTTTATTGGGAAATTAATATTAGGAATTGAAGTAATTGGCCTTTCTCCTAGTCTGCGATGAGATTAAGTTCCATAGTGTATTTGAACTCTTTCTTCTAAGAACTTCAGGGCAACTCTTTATATAACCTTATCGCATTTATCTATCACTTTGGGACATTTGTTCATCTCTGCCTTTTGTGTGTGACAGCATGTATTTATTCTTCTGTCATCACACCTCCTCCCCGCTTCACTCCCATCTTCAGGTTGTCTTCCTGTGCCTGGAAAAAGCTTACCCCAGTTTCACATGAAATCACCTAATAACCACAGTTGCAAAGTCTTGATCAAATCCTGTTCCCTGCTGCATTTCTTAGAGTTGTTCTCAAAGAAAAAGGCATCATATTAGAGCCTCTCAGCTTTCAGTATCTTTCTCCTCATATGAAGATAAAACTGAGAAACAGAACACAGCACCTATACAGTATACTTCTTGATATTTAATCATTTTAGATGATTTTTTTTTGTCTTGTGAAAAATTTCATTCCGTCAGTGTATGGCGATGCATATACTGTGCTATGCAAAAACCACTTTGCTTTTGAGGATTAAAGTGCTCACCACCGGGTGAAAATTTATAGTTATGTCCCTTTTAAAGTCACCCACTTGGAGCTGCTAATTTTAGCTGTCTCTGCCTCACAAGAGCTGTTTTTCTAAGCTGCCAATTTCCAGGTGCCATGCATTTTAAAATACTTTTGCAGTGAGGCAATCATTACCTCTGGATTTGCTACATTCTTTCTTGAATTTGGATAAAATTCAATCAACCACGATAAATCTACTCTGCTAAAAGGAAAGGTTCTGGACAATTTGAAGAAATAAGGTTGGTGATATTTCTTCTATGGAATTCATCTGATCTTTGTCCATTCTATTATTTCTTACTACTGTAGTCAAAATAGGAAGAGGGTGCGTATGTGTGTATATGTGCATGAGTGTACACAGGAGAGAGGGAGGGGAAAGAGAAAGAGAGGGGGGAGGAGGGTATTGCTTTGCTTCTGTGGCTTTTGCACAGAGAACTTCAGAGGCCAACTTTAGTGTCATTTCTTTAAACGAACAGCACATGACTCTCATTTTCACCTCCTCTCCACCCTCCCCAAAGGTTTCCTACGTGTACTTTAGATGCCTGATCTTTTTAATACAAAACGTCGTGTTACTCTGCCTTTGGACTTTCGGAAGGGGCGAGCAGTTAGACCCAGACTCCTGCATGGGCTTTGCAAACAAGGAGCTTCCTGGCTGCTCAGCAGCGGTCAGTGACAGCTCGCCTCGGTTTCATCAGCTCACTGGGACTGCATTTCACCAGGCCCCTTTGCCAGGGCCTCCCTGGCGGCGTCAACAAGTGTCTCACCTACTGCAGAAACAGCCCTCAAGTTTCATCACAGTGATGCTAAAAAATATTCTCCAGCTTCAGCAATGACCTAGTTCATTCAAGGGCAGGGGGAAAATGCTCTTCTTCCAGAACTCGCCTGGGCCTGGAGGTTTCCCTGTTAGGAAGATATGAACTTTTCTGGAAAGAGAGCCAACTGTGCATTGATCCATCTGTGGAAAAGACTCTGTATTTGAATCCCTGTCCCGGGATCAAGGACACCCAATCAATGCCTGACACACAGCGTGGGGAGCCCACCACCGAGCCAGCTCTCCAATAACATCTCTTGGACAAAGAGTACTGAAAAGTAAGTACGGTGGCTTTAGTTTTTACATAAGATGTGGCTGTGTTTTACATATATAATAGTTCACATTTTCTACAACAAAGAACAAAGCTGACTGCCTCCTTCTGGAACACAGCAAGATGAAACAAGCAGAAGCTGCATGACATATTAGGCACATAGTGTTTTAATGTGACCAAATTCTCATGGTCTTGTAGTTCAAGTTCACTCTGACACTTTCTGAAAATTATGATTACTTTTTAATGTTTGCTTATTTTGGCTTGACAATAATTAAAATAGCTTCATTCACATCATGTCTGTCTTAACAACTAGAAAAAACAAATGTAAAGGATGACTCAAAGGAGTGATATGTAAAGGCTTTGCAAAGTAACATGAAAAATTGAGGCCGTTATCCATGTAACTCCAGCCACAGACACTCCTGCCTGAAATAATCTGAGTATTTTAGTCCAAGCTTATTCCCCTTCCCTTGAATTATCTAAATGATTGAAAAATCTTCCCTCTGTGAGCGAACACAGCAGCGTCTTGTCTGAGAGCAAACAACGCACACTGCTGAAAAGCTATCAGGCATTTCAAAAAGGCTCACACAAACATTCATCCAGTTAACAGGGTTTTAAAAATTTAAGGCAAGGGGGCTGGGGATTTAGCTCAGTGGCAAAAGTGCCTGCCTGGCAAGTGCAAGGTCGTGAGTTCGGTTCCCGGTACCGGAGAAAAACCATAAAAATTTAAGGCAAAAATCATCCACAAAAAAAAAAAGAATCTGTCAATAAAAGGGCATCACTGTCCCATTACATTTTAATAAACACACCTAAAATGTAGAACCACTGATTCAGGTGTCAGTTACAGACATCTGACCATCATTTAAAAATAGATGAAAGCAACACAGCATTTGGCGCTGCTTTTGCTTGAATTACTTCCTTTCCACAATCTTTTCCTTGTGCAGAGGTAGCCTGCATTTTTAAAGATCAATTAACTAGGAATGGTGAGTCAGTCTTACTGCTCTGAAGGCCTGAGGTCCGTTTTATAGACCACAGCATGCCGGCTAAGGGGAAATGGGATGAACTGGTTTGCTTTTTCTAAACTGAAACTGAGGATATTGTGAGCTGTCTTCCAAATCAGTTTGAGACATCCTCTGTTAAAAGGAGCTGATGGCCATGTTCAGATCATGAAAATTAAGATTTGAAAGAAACTAAATGCATTTTAGCTTCCAAATTGCATTGCCCTTTTGAAGTTTTTACAAAATCTTTGACCACAATTTGGGGATATTTTTAGGTAGACTTTCCTTTCTTCCTGTTGCATTAGTTTTTTAGCGGTCCCCATGAATACTTCGGGTATATGTAGATGTCAGCTTAAGTAGGAAGAAGCAGTTGTGAGTATCCAGATCTGAAAGGAGCTGAGGGAAGTAGGGTCCCGGTCCTTGGGAAGAAAGCTCAGGCTTTAGCGTCAGATTTGGAACCAACTGCCCTGACTTCAGCACAGTGTTACCAAGCATCTGAAGCCCAATTTTCTCACCTATAAAATGAAGATGTTCACATCCATTTTAACAGGACTGATGGGGGATTAGATGAGGAGATAAAGTTTCTCAACAGAAATTAGTTCTTCATCTTTGCTCGTTACATGCTTTTCTTTGGCTTTTTTTGGCCTAGATGTCAGGATAAGATCTTCATATTAACTATATAAAGTAATAGAAACTACATTTTATTGAGATTGGTACAATAATCAAACAAATAACAGAAAATTAGATTCTTTGAGGAAAATGTATTTAGGAACAACATAATTGGAAGCAAAATTGTAAAAAAGGATTATATTTTTGAATGTACTTATGATAAATTAGAAAAAAATTTTTACTGAAAATAATTGGCTGTATTCTTATTATTTGAAAGCTGAGGTAGAGATTTATCAACCTCATCTCAGATTACTCTTTAATATCTATCAATATCATATTTACATGAGTGGGAATCTATAAGAATGGGAGGTAGAGTGAATCTACGTATATAAAATGATACCTATGATTACACTTGATCTTAGCCAAAAGGCCGAGAAGCGATGATACCTATGATTATTATGGAAACTATTAAAACTAAGCCCAGCCTTGCTTTAAAATTATAGATGAGCCATGCATTGATTATACATGGGCACTGTGGAGGTGATGGCAATGGGAATAGAGGGGAGATTCTCCCAAGAGGCAGACAGTACCTGGACAGGCCGTCTCGGGAACAGTGTGGTTTACGGTCTAGGGACCACACTGTGAGCTAGAATTGCAAGGTCTGTGATTAAAAATTCACTGTGTACAGCATGCTTCCTTCTTCTGTGGTAAGGGCAAGTTAAGTACAGGAGCGGGTAGACAAGAATCATAAACAAGGCTCTTGGGATAGTGCTGAAGAACAGTAGCAAGTTTTTTTTTTCTTGTTTTTACAGGGATACCCCTATGGCTTTTCCCCAGGAATATCAGAGTATCTTGATAAATGCTTTGCTTGAGTAACTGACAGGTTCACATGGAACTCTATAATTCTGGGCTTAATTTTGCCAAAAAGGAAAAATGGAAATGCAGGTATATAGAGAGACTTGGGAGAAAGTGATAGTGTCTTCATAGGGTGGGTAAACATGAAGGAATAGAAAACCTGACTTACATGAGAAAAAAAATATTTAAAAGTATTTAGCGCCTTTGTTAGAATTTCTGCTGATGCACATACACCTGGCATGGCCTCAGTGAACATAACGGATGAACATTGGGTCAAACAGTGAGACACCAGGCTAGAGAGAAACTCTGTTCTATAGCTTGAGTCTGTATCCCCTGCACACCCCTTCACCACGATTGCCATAACCTCCGTGGCTGTTACTCACACATGTGAGACAGCACAGCTCACCTATGTCTTCACTGGATAGTCAACTAGCTCTTAGGTAGCCAGGGCCATTTGTTCCTCAATCCCTAGCTTTAGACTGTGTCTGACTCCAGCTATTGTCAAACTTTCAAAGTGCACCAAAATTTAGGGAGCTTATTAAAATACCAATTGCTCAGCTGTACCCTGAATTTCTGTTTCTGAAGGCCCAAAGGATCCAAAGGATTTGCATTTTGTTCATGTTCCCAGGAGATGCTCATGGTGTGACGCACGGGCCACAGTAGGAGAACTACCACTTTAGTTGTGTCTTTGGCCTGAAGTTCCTGAAGAAAACCTTTTAGTATTGTTCTTTTCTGTCACTGATCTTGCCTTATTCCTTAGATGTCAGACACTATATGTTAGCGCTGTAGAGAATACAAAAGGCAAACCAAGCAGGCCTGGTGCAGGCAAATGTTTTAACCATGTGTAGGAGATGCTTGGAGTGGGGACCATAAACTGAGGTAATGCCCTCTCATTGGAGGGGATATTTTTTTTTTCAGCTGAGAATATCAGGGAAGCCTTCAAAAGAAGCAAGCATTTGAGCTTAGGTGTTTGAAAACTGGTGCGATCTGAACAGACAGATGGAAACGTGAAAGGCACAGAGACAGAACAAGTACGGTAACTGTGCACTAGTTTTGTTGGGCTAGGCTTTGCTCAGTTTCCCTTAGCACTCTCTTGGGGAAATATCCTTTGATTAACCCAATAGTATTAAATTGTTACTTCTGTCTGTAACTTGGTTCCAGCATTAAGGTCTAGTATGGAGAACCAATGGCTCGAAGTTCAGGAACCATGGGGGGAGGAGGAGAAGGGTGGACATTTCATTGTATCTTCTAGAAATAACAGCAAAATCAGTTCAAACTGGCTTGCAGAACATAGAATTTATTGTTCACACAATTAGAAAAGTCCAGGAGTTGGTCAAAACACCCCTCTGTTTCTTTGTTTCTGAAGGCTCAACTTGTTTCTGGTTTGGTTTCAACCTCAAGTCAGTAACTCACTCTCTGAAGACCACTCTCTCAAGAGAACTACCTTGTCGTCCTCATTCTTTCTCTTTCCTGTTGAGGACAGAGGAAAAGACCTAAAGTTTGCACTGATTGGCTTTAATGTTGGTTAATGAGCCAATCAGTAAGCACTGCCCTAATGATCTTCAACCAATCAGAGCCCACAAAGTAGGAAGGGTGAAGTCTGGGCAACCTAAGTCATGAGATGGCTAAGTCACAGGGAGATTTGTGGAACAGTTAGGACACATGAAATGGGGTTTTAAGTATTTTGGAGAAGGGTCTCTAACATATCATCACTTCTCTTAGTCATCAAGTTAGCCACTGGCAGCATTCATGCTTTAAAAATTTAAGATGAGAGGGGCTGGGGATTTAGCTCATTGGCACAGCGCCTGCCTGGCAAGTGCAAGGTCATGAGTTCGATTCCTGTTACCAGAAGAAAAACAACAACAACAACAAAAAATTTAAGATGAGCCCAGGCAAAGTGAAATGATTTTTAAAAACCTTTAAAATAAGGAAAATGTTGACATTATATGAAATGTATTCTCACACAATGGAGTACTGTGCTGCCATAAAGAAATATAAACTTGAGGCATTCATAGGTAAGCAGACACAACTTGAGATCATAATGTTAAGCAAGTGAGATAAGTCAGACATACAGCTCAAATATAGCATGCTTTCTCTTATATGAGAAACTATGTATGTATAAATACAGAGAAAAATAGAAGAGATAAATAAGAAGTAGGGAGATGTTCATATACTTCCCCAAATTGCATATTCTGTTGTTTTAAAAATATTTCAATATATAAGCTAATTTTTTTCATTTACACTAAAGTTTATCTTAGTTTGTTGCAAAGAAAGCTTGCATTATTATCTGTTTGCTTCGTTTTTGTAAGACTCTTTTTGGTTTATGTCTTATTCTGAGTGACTACTTTGAAGATAACAATATACAGTGTAGTAACTTGTTACTCTCTTATTATTTGGTTGTGAAAATACATTTTTTCGTAAGATAAAAAGAAAAAAGGAAAAAAAGAAAATTTTCTCCAAAAAAAAAAGTATTCTCCTACAATGAGCTAAATGGCTGGGTTCAAGGATGACGGCAGATAAAGTGAACAGGTGACCGTCCCCACACAGC